TTTTTCATTAACCCTAAGGCCCGGGAAAAAAAAAAAAAAAAAAAAAAAAAAAAAAAGACACTAGATTCGCCATTCAATGAAACAAAGGGGCAAAAAGAGAGATAAATAAAATATTGGTGTGAAGCAAAAACAAACCGAAAGAACGCCCCTTGCGTGACTTTGGGGGCTTGATTCTTCTGATTCTGAGGCGTGAGAAGAGAAATCCAGCAAATGAAACAGCCAAAGCCAAACCAAATTTCAGTAGAACGGGCTTCACACCCCTCTCCTCTCTGATCACCATCATATCACAATCACTCTAATTGCTCTTTGATTCTTGAAAAGAGAGCAAAATCACATAGCTTTCCTTCATCATCCTCATCCATCTCAAACCAACGAAAAAAGCATAAGATTCATTTATGGTTTATGCCAAGAAACACAACAAAGTCATAGATAAGCCAAGTGAGTCAAAGTCCACATATTTATTTGGAAAGTCTTGCAGAAGACCAGAAACCATCCAATTCATACATAAGAATCACATGAAAATCAAATCCCCGCGATTTCTACTAGCACCTAGCTGGTTAATTTGATTCTACACATTAGCCATAGTTAAAATAAATAAATAGCACATGACATGATCCAGCCCTGACAAAAGTCAACTGAGTGTATCAAAGGGATCATGAGTGAGTAAAAACTCAATTCAAATCATGAAACAAACAAAAAACGGAGTAAAGAAAGGCAAATACTCAAAACTCATCACAAAATAACATGAGAAGGCAACAACTCAGGTGTGGTGTCTCTGAATTTGGAGCTTTATTTAAATAGGATTGAAGTTGTCTTTTGGACATAGGTTCGGTTGCGTGTCAGGTTGTCCCTCTCATGACCAAAACAACAATTGGGCACAAACGGATTCTTTGAAAAATTGTGTCTTTATACTAACAAACGTTGGGCACTGATTCTTGTCGTGTGTAGTAATGGTAATGGCGACGTGTTGTTGAGTGGTACATGTCAGAGTTGAAATTAAAGAAATTGGAATTATGAAGAGATAGAAATCAATAAAAATAATAAAGATTCGACTCGAGTTCCACTGTGTTAACAGCGAAACCAATACCAATTAGAAAGAGAAACGCCAAGATTACATACACATATATATTATGGAAAAGGCATGTTCTTCTCGTGACATTAGTTCAATTTTAGTAATAGAGATTGCTATTTTTTTTCTTTTTTATTCCAACCTAACTCTGTTTTAGTTTAAGAATAACAATTTCGTCTACGAAAATGTTAACATTGGTTGATATCAATGGATTTGGAAGTTTATGGGGATATTATTTAAGAGTTTAATATCATATTGAGCTAATATGTTTTAAGGTGTATAATATTACATATTTTTTTAGTTTCTTTTTTTTTTACAGCAAAAAAATTAATAAATTATTCAACTATAATATTTTTAGTTTCTTAAAAATAATGCATTTTATTCTAAGTATTTTGAACAACTATATATTCAATATTTTAACTTGAGACAATTTGATTAAAATGGAATAACCTATACCAGTTAATAAATTCATGTGTCGGATTAAAGTTTAAAGTTGTTTATTTTACAAAAATTAAAAATATATTCAAGTGAAATTTATTTTTATTAAGGTTATAAATGTCATTTTTTAATTTAAAAAAAAATCTGACTTGTAAAAAGAAACTAGTTACCTGCCCATCATAGACCTACATTAAAGATAAACTATCTTAGAATTCATCAGAGAGATAGAGAGAATATACGTATGTATATTCGATAATATCATAAAAAAATTGAGTAAGTGTTTATACTAGTAAAATTTGTCTGATAATTATGTAACGTCAAGAAAAGTGAACATCAAGAAACAAATCGAGGAAGTATCGAAGAACAACCTTGATAGGAATTTAGTTTTCTCCTAAGATGCTCATCGAAACCAAATTCCTAGGGGGGCATTTGTTAGGCATACTCGAAAATCATGTGACTCGAAAAGATTGATAGCGCTGCCTGAGAAGTAAAATCAACACATGATGAAATTATGGGACTCGAAAAAACAAGTGTTGCTCGAAAATAGTTGAAAAGTTGAGACTGTCAGAACATGGAGGTTAAGCCAAAACGGTTACTAAAAAATCAATCGAGAAAACAAGGAACGTGGGAAGAGCGGTTAAAGGAAGTTGAGTCAAGACCACGTAGCAAATATAGTGGATAGCGGTTATGAGTCAAAAGCGTACATGTACAGAATTAACCGCCCTTGATTGCTCTATAAATACAAGGATTACGGACCTTTACAGGGGTCGAAAAACTCATACTAGAATTGGACTCTGAAGCACTCTCTGCCTACACACACATATGGCTTTCGTGCACAAGATCGTTTTTGGGTATGACTGACTCTCGGCCACTTTTTTTTTTTCTTTTTAGGAGTAGAAGTAGAATAGTCTTCTTGTTCTTTGTTTAATTACGTAGTGTATTCATATACTTGGATCAATATATTCTCATGTGTAACGTAATTTGATCATTGTACGAAATGAACTATGATTTGTATTGCTAATATATGTATTGTCCATTCTGTTCACATTATTATTTGCGTGCATGAACATTGCTTGTTAGTATTAATAGAAGAACATTTCGAAATAAGTAATTACTGAGACTTCTTACTCTACTTTTTGTTCTCAATACCGCAATAACACAGTGAAGTACCTAAATTGAAACACATTGTGTGCTAGTCTAAATAACAAGAACTCATAAAACATATTCCACCGTAAACAGATATAGATACTACATTTTTTTTTTGTTCGTCCCTGGAGTATTCAGGGTACGGTAATTAATTTCCTGTTGGAGGCACCTCAAAGTTAAGCGTGGATCAACCCCTATAGTTGAATTACTTGGGGTTATAGATACTACGTATTTATTATTAAAATAATAATTAATTTTTATCAAATTTGTTGGAGTATAATATAAAAAGAAATATTTTATTTCATACAAATAAAATATATATATATATGAGAAATTTACTTATTTTAAATTATTAAATAAAATAAATTAAAGTAGATTTAATAACTGAATTTTTTTTATTCTTCTTGTGAATCTCTCCCGTGTTCTACGGTTACTTCCTCTTTCTTCTTCCTTCTTCCTCCCCTTACACCTTCTCTGCACCCACTCATGTCTTTCCCATACTCCACCACCTTCATCAAGCCCAAGTCATTCAACATGCATAGATTTTATTTTATGATACATGTTAAACAAAAAATTTAAGGGACCATTGGCGATCACCATCAACAACTGAAATTAAAATATAATCTCAGAAAACAACATAAAGGAGTGATGAGGTAAGAAAAAAGGAAACACTCGAATCCAAGAACCTCCACAATAAAATTTTTAAACCTGGAGTCCAAAACAGAAACAGGGGACTCAACTATGCCTTTTGGAAAAAAGGGTTATGACAGGAAAATAAAAATAGAGAAAAAGTGAGAGAGAAATATGGGTAGGAAACATTAAGATTGTGTTTAATAGAAAGGAAATAAATAAGTGAGAAATATGATGGTAAGGAATAAAAAATGAGTAAAAATAAATAAAAAATAGAGAAAAAATTTAATTATTTGATTAAAAAATAGATGAGAAATAAATAAATAAATAAGTGAAATTTATCATTTTTTTAATTTTTATTCTTCTTTTTATCAAATAACTTCACTTACTTTTTTTATCATTTTTTAATTTTTATTTTTTTCATCCTTATTTTATCTAATTTTTCTTAACCAAACTCGGCATAAATAAAATTTTCATTTTCTATTAATTTAGAATTATTTAATATTTATTTTTATGGATCAGAATTGACCGTCATATATAAATTTTAAACTTATAAAACTTAACCAAATATGTTTCCTTTATAATTTGAAGTTATGGGAGTGGTGGCGCACCAGTACGAGGCTACCATTCAAACCTCGTATAAATATTTGTTTTTCCCACTCATCCGTAAAGCCCAGAAACAAACGAGGGTTTATACAAAACAAAAGTACATTGTATCAGTTGCCATGACGAGGCTCCTCAGAACGATCTTCATCGCGCACAAGCTCCACCTCCGCAACCCCAACCGCATTCTTCCATCTCTCGTTTCCCACTACTCCTCCGCAACCACTGACTCATCCGATCCCACTGAGGTCCAAAAAACAACAATCCAATCCACCGGAAGTTGGAGCAGCTACGCAAACGTCTATGACCGCCCGGTCGCGCAGCCCGAGCCAAGCGCGCAACCCGAGCCAAGCGCGCAACCCGAGCCAAGCACGCAACCCGAGCCAAGCGACCACAGCGACGAAGACGAAGGCGAAGACGAAAACCCTAGCAGCAGCAGCAGGAGTAGAGCACTGAGTTTCGCAGTGACCAAGAGAAGGGGGAAGGTGAAAACTCAGTGGGTGTGCGAGGTTTGTGGATACACAGTAGGGCAATGGTGGGGGACATGCCCCTCCTGCAAAGTATCTGGCACAATGATAGAGTATAACGAAACCAAATTAACCGACAGGCACCGAGGTGGCTTAGCCGTTTCCGAGGATTCCGTGGCCTCGTGGCTCCCCCAGCGGTCCCAAGAGTTGCGCCCCCTCAAATTGGACGAGGTCAACCGTGGATTCGATCACGAGAAATGGAGAATTCCTTTGTAAGTTCCTCTTTGATCAAAGAGCCTCGTTGTCGTTTGGGTTCTTAACATGTTCATCCTATTCCCAAATCTCCACCACCCATTTCGCTTCCACCACAAAGCTTTCCACCAATGGCTCCTCCACCATCGGATGATAGCTCAGAGGTTCCATCATCAGCCTCCACGCTTCTTACTACAATTGTTATGTCTTCTTTGGTCACATTTGTTAGTGTCATGATGCTGTTAGCACCCTGAAATAGTTGGTTTTCTTTTCTTGATTAATTGCTTCTGGAATACCAGTTGTTTAGGTTAGGTATTAATTAATTATCATTCCAACTTTTTTTTTTTTTTTTTCTTTCTTCATTCTCTACCAGTTACTTTCATATCATTGTGGTTTTTGTATTGTATTTATGGACATGGCTTCACTTTGTCTAATGTGACCTTTTGATTTTGGGTTAAAGCATTTGTATTAGTTTACTGCATTGTTTAAGGCCATTTGACTTCGAACTTTTCTACTTATAATCGCAGGATTTCACACTCCGTGAGGAATATGCAATACAACTATAAATAATTCAACATTCAAAGTGAATTAGTCATGCTCTAGAATCTGACAAAAAAAGTATTTAGTAAATGATTATGATGACTAGGAAAAGTAAAAACTAGAACCAAACGCGTCATTGCTTTAATTTATTTACCGTTCCTTTTTTTTTTTCTAATCGCAAGGTTTTCCACTCCACGAGCTATATATACAATTAAATAATTCAACGTTCCTAGTGTGCAAAATTCACGCTCTAGAATCTTTTACAAGTTTTCATTTTTTTTTGGTATAGTACATATCACAAGTTTGAGTTTTTCATTTTTTTTTTTCTTTTCGAAAGAGTTAAATTTAGTAAATCTCTAGTTATCTTCAAGTTTAAAGACTCACTCCACCTCAAATTGCGGCATCATCTCTTTTACTATAAGTTTATTTATATCGGAAACAATTCACAAGTAAGGTTAGGGATAAACATTCAAGAGAAAGATGAAGTAAAAATAATTTTCTAATATGGCTTTGACGTGCAAAATTAAGCGCCTTCCAAATTCAAGACAAAAAGTGGTATTTACTCGCAAAATTAAATCGTTTGACATTGATAAAGTTATATTTATACTGCATATCATTTTCCAATATGATTACCCTAGTCTCTGTTTTATATTTTGTTCTGTACTTCTATCTGACTCTGGCTTGTGAAATAGTTTAAGAAAATATTTATGAACAAATACATCACGAACAATCTTGTATAAGTGGTAGTATGCACATTATTTTTACACGTAACATGTTCATTTTGGGAGCCAAATTAATCAGTATGAATGATAACCCTGTAAATAAGAGCTCTCAAAATCTGAATTTTCACTTTCCTTTTCGTAGCTTGCAGCTCCATCCCCACTTTCATTCCTAGTCTTTCTCCATTTTGATTTTCTGAGCCAGTGCTCAAGCAGCATGACACTGAGACCAATGAAGATTGTGGCCAGAGAGCCACCTCCTAGTGCTAGTAGCACAACAGATAGCCACTGCATCCCTTGACTATGTGGCAAGATCACCCATGTGGCTGCAACATAGCCAGTTGCCATAAATGCCACAGCCACCCACATGACCTTGTGAGCGATTGTCAATAGTATTGTGTGTGGTTTTCTTCTAAATGGAATGATACTAACAAGCACAATGACTATGGACAGAGATGTGAATAGTGCTATGTTGTTGCTTATTGCAAAGACCTTGAAGGCTGTTGTTTTTCCCGCAATTGACTTACCTCTCATTTGTTGAATATGGTGTGGCAAATTTAGTCCCACATCGAATAAGTTTTTTTTGATGTGGCCAAATTAGTCCCACATTGGATAAGTTTGGGAATGTGTAGTGCCTTAGGTTCTATATATAGAAACCCTTCCCTTCACTTTGAAATCATCCCAACTACAAGTTCATTTGTAACTTCTAAGGCTTGTAGTTTTCTCTTCTCTCTCTATTGTAATATTTCTTAGTGAAATATATTTGGTAGTGTCCGAGGAAGTAGGCATAATTGGCTGAACCTCGTTAAATTCTTGGTGTTCTTTCTTTCTTGTTTTGCTTTTGGTTTAAAATTTGCTAGACGTTTCGACATGTAACTCTTAATGTTCTTGTTTATGCAGTTTTTGAGTACCAGAATGACTCGGTTCTTAGTGTGGAGAAATGGGATTACATTAACTGTGACGCAAGTAACCCCATCACTGCTTTTGACAATGGAAAGAGCACTTTCAATCTTGATAGGCCTGGAGACTTCTACTTCATCAGTGGAACCGATTATCACTGCAATAATGGGCAAAAACTTGTAGTGGATGTGATGCACCCTCATCCTATTCCCAAATCTCCACCACCCATTTCGCTTCCACCACAAAGCTTTCCACCAATGGCTCCTCCACCATCGGATGATAGCTCAGAGGTTCCATCATCAGCCTCCACGCTTCTTACTACAATTGTTATGTCTTCTTTGGTCACATTTGTTAGTGTCATGATGCTGTTAGCACCCTGAAATAGTTGGTTTTCTTTTCTTGATTAATTGCTTCTGGAATACCAGTTGTTTAGGTTAGGTATTAATTAATTATCATTCCAACTTTTTTTTTTTTTTTTTCTTTCTTCATTCTCTACCAGTTACTTTCATATCATTGTGGTTTTTGTATTGTATTTATGGACATGGCTTCACCTGTGAGTAACTATTAAGCCTACTCTGGACCTAACAGTTTGGTGGGGAATAAAGTGAAGCAAAGATGAGAGATTTTAAAACATTTTTAGTATAATGTTGAAATATCTTATTTATGTTTTAGCTTTTAAAATTCCAAATTATATTTTTAAATTTAACTACTTCCCGATATATTTGTCTCTCTGTATATATATATATATATATATATATATATATATATAGTGGTATATATAAAAGAGGAATCCACTTATTCAAAGCGTAAGTTTACTTACACTTACTTCACTCAATAGCTTATATTTTGTCTCAAATTTTAGCGATCCAAATCTTGAATTAAAAATTCTTAATGTATAGATCAAAATTTTAATTTTATAAAAAAATTTAAAAATTATTTAATACTTTTTTTATTAATTTAGATCAACATAGAAAATGTTTTTATAATTGACTGTCAATTTGAATTAATGAAACAAAATATCAAATAATCTTCAAATTTTTAAAACATTTATAGACTTTATCTGTACATTAAGAACTTTTAATTCAACGGCTAGATCATTGATATAGAACATGAGTTATTGAGTGGTCTAAATCTAAATAAACTTACTCTTGGAGTAAGTGGATTCCTCTTTATATATATATATATATATATATATATATATATTATTTTAGTCATGTATTCTTTTTAGTTATGGACTAATATGATTTTGAATTTGCACTTTTAAGGATATATTTAACAGTTTCTTAGTTTCAAGAACTAATATGACACAGCCTTCCAAATTCAAGGACTAATTTGGATGTTTATTCTCTTTTTCTCAAATCTATGAATTGTCTATTTGGATTCTGTGTGTTTTGGACCATTCTATGGAAGAAGTAAAAGAGGGTTGGTTTAACTTTTGGGGGAGTAGTTTGGAGAAAGGGAAAAAAATAATCCAAGGGCTTGTGGGTATTTATTGGTGTACTGTTTCTAGAAAAGTATGTTATTTTCATAAATCATAAAGGAGTTAATTAGGAGAATGTTTTTATGCCATGCCTTTGTGTGTGTGAGTCTGTGAGAGCATCTGCTCTTCCAGGCTTCTACATAAGATGTTCTGTGGTGCTTTTCTCAACTGTTATATTGTACAGTTTTCTTTGATTTCAGATCCGGGTCTTTTGGAAATGAGATTTCTACCGTGCTTGGTGGAGGTCTTGTACCAGGTTCAGTCCAATTCCCTTATTGACATTGGTCTGACTATTGAAACTATTGTGTTTCTATTTTTCTTCTCATGTTTGCTTGGATGTGATGAGCTTGTATGGTCCAAGTTATCAGATGCATTGTTTGACATTGTGTGTGTGTGCGCGCATGTAGGCACATGTGTGTTTTAAGTTATAAAATGCAATTATGCATGATCTGCTAAAATTGCATTAATATATTACTTCATAATCTTGGTTCATCTGCTATGATTGTGGGAATTAATTTCGAGTAATACTCTTGAAGGGTCATGCATTGAGATTTTTTTTTGTGTTAACTATGATTATTTGTTTTGTGTGTCAGATTAGTCAAGAGTGTTACTTCTTTTGGTTATTGATCTTGGTGAATGAGTCATAATCAAAACATTATTATTTTTCCCCCTCTATCTTAATAATTGAATTTCCATTAGAAGGCTTCCAATTGACTGCCTGATATGTTTTTTAATTCAAGTTTTCTTGATGCTTAAGCAAAAAGTAATTCTGGTTATCCATGGTTAACTTTATTTTAGATGTGGTTTTGAAGGTTCTTTAACTTTAGTTGGTGGTGATCCGGGTATTGGGAAGAGCACTCTGCTGTTGCAGGTACGAATTAATTTTGATGGTTAAACTGGGTATAAAAGTTTGGTGATTAATTTCTATAATGGTCTGGTCAACTGTCATTATTGCCTAATTTGTGATGTTGAATTGGAAGATTGCAGCAATGATAGCGAAAGAAGGCAGTGATGGTGGAGCACCTCCAGTTGTATATGTCTCTGGCGAAGAGGTTTGCTTGTAGTGAGCTTCTTAATAGTTTTGAAGTTGAAATATGTTTTTAGTTATCGTAAGTAAGGTAATGTTCATTTTTTATCCCTCAAAAATAACTGTCTCGGGATCTCCTTTTGGGTCTTCACTTATAGAAATGTTTCGTGTGTTTCAGTATATTTCCATAAATGAGAGACCAAAAGGAGATGGTTCTTTTGTGAAGGACAATGACCACACTTGAAACATTTAAAAACAGGGGGACTAAAAGGAGACCACTATTTTTTGAGGGACGAAAAACAGATATAACCTTAATTTTTAATTATGTTTCATATCAATAAGATCATTATCACATTTATATTTTAAATTTAGTTGGAGTTCTTTAAACATGTTTTTAGTTTGACACACGCATAACTCCAGAGCAAGAATAATTTTTCTCATCATATTTTACACCAAAGCTACAGAACACATGGTTTATATTTCCTTTATACTGTCAGTGTCAGAACATTTGCACATTGCTTTGATAACTCCTGCATAACATAGAACAAGTTAGAAATTTAAATACTATTTTAATATTTTCTGTATTGACTGTTTAGAGCATGAAGAGTGCATAAGGACCCAAGTAGAATTCCATAAACTAAAAAAATGTCTCATATTCTTACTCTCACATGAAATACTCAAGGTTCAAAAGTTATATATAAAAATAAATAAAAAATAAAAAAGCTGCTAAATAAAGGTGTTGAAAATTTAAAATATTAGATATTGATACTAAATTAATCTACAGAAAGTTACTTATATGGCTTATTTTAATACTGTTAACATTTACCTCCTGGCCTATATATATATCTTCATGCTAAATCTTGTATTTTTTTTTTTATATTTTGATGATTAATCCTTGATTTCACTGCTCTGGAAGGTGAATACTGTGGTTTAGCTTTTGATTTACAAGTTACAACTGTTCTTTAGGGTCTGTGTCACTTTTTTGATTTATTGTGCATTTGTTCTCTGTTACGTGACAGAGCCTTCAGCAAATAGGTAATAGAGCAGACCGCCTTGGGATTCAATCCAATATTTATTTATATTCAAGTACTGATATTGAGGTACATTGACTTGAATTTTGCTGATTAGTTTTCTTTATATGTGACTTTTGATTGTAATGCCAGTATACCACTAAAGCTTTTTTGTGGTTAGATGCTGCGTGTTGCTATCCTGGATTGATAACCATACACTACTTTTTCTCCATGGTGTTAGGACATATTGATGAAAACTCATCGTCTATCCCCTCGTGCTCTGGTGGTTGATTCTATACAAACTGTTTACCTGAAAACAGTAGTAGGAAGTGCTGGAGGGATTATGCAGGTTTGGAATCTACGAAACTTAATTACCCTCAAGAGACTTTACGTTTTTCTTGGATGTTTGAAGTATGTTGCACTATGCATATCCGTCTATATTCTATTAAAATGATATGTTATGTAATGTGGTTTGGGATATTTTTTCGTATTTAATTAACTTTCATTTTTTCCATATTAACTTCATCTTCATACTATTGATCATTGTCAAATAAAGGATTTTTTGAAAAAGGGAAAGCTCACAATTTATTAATTTTGTTTAAACTATTTAATTGGTTTTTTGGTCATTGATTCCATTTGTGTACTTTCCTGTCACCCCTTGCTTTTATTTGCTGATCTACCAAAAATTGTTCAAGTCATATTGATTCTGTAGTATGGCTTTTTATTGGTGTGTGATAGGTGAAGGAATGTACTGCTGCTTTGATGCGATTTGCAAAAACAACTAACATCTCAGTTTTTTTGGTGAGTACACCTCTATCAATTTTTAGTGTGTTTGGATTGACTTCATGGTGAGAAATAATCAATTACTTTTTCATGAAAACAAAGCAAAAAATAGTTGCTTCTACTTTTTCATGCAAACAAAGCAACAAATAGTTGCTTCTACTTTTTCATGGTATCACCATGATTTTGGGGGGGTGGAATTGATTCCTGGGTGTTACCCAAGCACACTATTTGTGAGTTGTATTTAAGTGGTGAGTTGATATATTAATTCACTATCATGTTCTGCATCTTGTATACTTTTTTAAAAGGAATAGTAGTTGAATTTCCATTTTATTCCTACTCATGGTTTTCTTAAGATGGACAGGTTTCTTGAATTGCTTGTGGAAAATATCCTCAACAAGGACTATGACACATACAAGATTTGCAAACACTAATAAAGAAAAGGAATAATACAATCTATGAACGTTTTAAGAATTTTTAATTAGGACCCTACATCAAAAAAGTTTGTAATTGGATCCTTGATCTTTTACAATTTTTGTAATTAGGTACCTGGAATTAGTAAAATTGTCACAAATTATTTTTGTGACAGTTTTGAGCCGCCACAATTAATTCCAAGATTTCAATTACAAAAATTGTAGAAGATCAAGGATTCAATTACAAAAATTTAAAGTTTAGGAGCCTAATTAAAAATTTCTAAAAAGTTGAAGGACCTACTAATGTATTAAACCTTAAGAAAATAAAGTGAATAAGGAAATATAACAATACAAATACAAATAAGTTACAAATCAATGTTGTAAAAGTAAAATTCAATATCTTATCTTGGATTGAGAGGGGGATGCAAAATAATATATAAATACATAGATGTGATAAAAATGCCATTGGTAAGGAAAATATCTTGTAATTCATAACATTGAACTAAATGTAAAATTCATATTCAAAGATTTGTCTTATCAATATCTCCTGTCATCATCCTTGTTAGACATTCATAAAGTCCCTTCTTCATAGTCAACTTTAAAAACATGGGCTTTAATGCAACACTAAGGTCCACGTAAAGGCCTGTAACTTTAAAACATTGGCATGCATCATGCAATGGCCTCTATGAATCTGGTTGTCCCACCTCTGATCCATGTTCTCCCACAGAGGAATGTAACTAAAGAATGGGGGAAAATTAAATTAGTTTTTAAAATCTAAGCTAAGATACTAATCCTATGAAAATTACATAAAAGAGTGGAAGACTAATATATCTTTTTATGATACCACTGTAATTAGTTTGAATCTTCGTAGCCCTGTTCATTTCTTTGTAGATGAACCCTGCGGCTGGCTTTTTATATGAATCCACCAAACGCAATACTTTAATTTGGGGAAAAGTGCCCTTCAAGCAATTTGTAACAAGTTTCAAATAATCCTTATCTGCAACCAATTGTTCCACAAGCTTTCCATCCTTTGTTTTTGCCAACATACTAGATTTCCATTGTGTAGAGTCAAACATTTATAGCAATTTCACCTTGTTCTCACGCAAGTAAAAAAATCAAGTATGATTGCACTGAAATGGCAGGGTGATATGGTTGTTGTTGCTCATGTCTCTTATTGTGGCCTTTGAATTGTTCACATTTGTGATTATATTTTTTTTTTTGTACTTTTCATTTTTGTTTCATATTTTAGATAGGACACGTGACTAAATCTGGAGAGCTAGCGGGACCTCGTGTCTTGGAGCATATCGTCGATGTTGTTTTGTATATGGAAGTTGGTACCTTATTACACTCTTCTTTCATTGGATAGTTGTTAATTGCTAAAGCTGATTTGTGCCTATCATTATAGTTTCAACTGCCTGGTTTTAAATATTTTTTGGGCTTTTACTGTATTTTAGAATGTTGCTGTATTTAGTTTCCTCCTTTAAAGCACTGTATCATGTCATGGCAAGATATGCACATTTTGACGAGGGGAGTTTATTTCCATTTTTGCATTATACTTAATTAAAATAAAATTTTTGGAAGGATGGGAATAAGATCTCTTGATGAAATCATGGTGATGTGACATTCATTTCAATTGTACCTTATTTTCAGGGAGCAATGTTTATGCATTTCGGTTTAATAGTTTTCACTTTCCAGTAATTTGTGAGAGAGTTTAGAGAGAACGAATTGTATTAGGATATATGAATATTACAAAAGGAAACGACTATTTATATTACTAGCAAGCTTCTTAACAGATTCTAAACATACTTGCTGACCATGCTAACAGAGTCATAGCAAACTAATTGAAGAATATTCCAGATAATTACAAAGTAAGCCTTGCATAAACTATCAAAATTTGACTCATGTAAAGAGAAGGGTTACACTTTAGATGATAAATTGTAGTCACAGAGACACAGACTCACAATGGTTGATTAGAAAATCAACAATGAGAATTTAAGAACTTTTTTCCATGTAATTGTATTTAATTACAATTACAATCTGAACTATTGATTAGAAAATTAACAATTGTGCTTGGATTTTATCTTCTAAAGTGCAACCTTCTCACTAGAGACAAGACAAATTTGATGCATTTAGCTTGTGAATTATGAATAAAACTTGATAATATATTGTTCAATACACTCAATCTCAAATTATATAGCTTGATTTCTTTTATTTAAAGAGTTTATTTGTAATAATGAGTAAAAAGAGAATGATATATAGTGGAACAATAAAAACGCCGACAATAATTTTTTTATTCCTCTGAAATTTGTTATGGTCACTGGCTCACTGCACACGTTTCTTCCTATTCCCTTTTGCCTGAATAATTTCTAATTATTTTTACAAATATTACATTTAAACTAAATGTGCAGTTTTATGGGTAACATTTTTTCTTCATATTACTTGTAGTTGGGTTGTTGAAATCACCATATTTCATTTAAATTTTCTCCGTGCTAACTGTTCATATTAATGCTCAGGGTGAGAAGTACTCTCCATATCGAATGCTTCGAGCTGTGAAAAATCGGTTTGGATCCACTGATGAGGTATGCTATAACTATTGCCTATTACATTTAAGATCTACTGTACGTTCCTTGGTTGTAACTGTTTTACTAATACTTCTGAAAAACTGTGTTTGCAATACTCTTTAATATATAAATATCATGTGTTATCTAATGTATTATAAAAGTCAACAAACTCACTATATATAATGATTTGTTATTAGAAGACAATATAAAATTAGTGTATAACTTTTTTAAGTGCTATCTAATATATTTGGAGGACTAAAAGTGATACATTTTCAAAATTGAGAGGTTAAAATAGGACAAATGAATTTAGAAGGACTAAAAACGAATTTCAATAATTTTACAGGGACTAAAAAATATTTTACCCTTTTTTAGAAAAGCAAATATTTAGGTAGATATGCTACTTCCTTTTTTTAAAATTTTAAAAAAACAGTTTAGACAAATGTATCAAAAATTAGAAAACTGATTATTTTAATAACGTCTTTTTAGGAAAAAATAATTTAAACAAACAAGTTCAATATCTTTCTGTGATGCTTAATTTTGAGAATGTGTATATATCTACCTATATGCCTTATCTTATATGTGGTATATCTGGCAGTAAGTTCAAATCATCATAATACTTTGAAATGAGGATGAAGAACATATGAAATACTGGGTGATGGATTGAAATTCTGAAAACTATATATTATTTTAAAGGATTTAACATGTTGATTTTTTATCATCACTCAATCCAACTAGATATAGAAGTTCCTTCAGTGTGTTATTATATCAATTTCATAATGGTATATGGTCTTCTGTTTTTATTTTACCTTCTATAATTATGACTATAAGAGAAAATTGACGTTTGATCTGTGTTGTCTTTGATATATGTGATCAGCTTGCAGTTCTTGAGATGTCACAGTCAGGACTCCAGGCTGTTTCAAATGCCAGTGAAATGTTTCTCACTCAACAACACACTGATTCAAATGTTTTAACTGGGCTTGCTATTGCAGTAATAATGGACGGTACAAGAACTTTTTTAATTGAAATTCAGGTAATTTTCTTTGTATCATTGTATAAAAATCTCAAAGTCCATCTTGGATTTTCTTTTATATCCTACACCTTGAGAAACATCACCATCGCCCTTGTCATTAATTGTGGATATCATAAAGCAATTGATGCATACATGTGCTTGGCTCTAACATTAGCTGATAATAATTTCTTGATTTTGGATAGTGAATGAAGCCTAACAATGTTTACTTCATCTGGACACTTTCTATTCGAAGTTATTGTGTTGAATCCTCAAAACTGTAATCACGTTGTGATCATCTATGATAAAGATGCCTGAATTTTCTTCATTGTGTCTTGCGCTCATCTTTATTATTTATACTCCCAATATCCTTTAAGAAAGTTATTTTGATTGGTTTTCAATTTTATTTTACAGGCACTTTGCCTTTCACAATGTTCTGTTTCAAGTTCGGTATTTAATGGGATCCAGGCAAACAAAGCTAATATGATTAAATGTGTAAGCTATTCTCGATTTCTTTAACAATCTTATCCTTGCTTTTGTATTCATACCATATGGCATTTTTTCTCCTTTATCTTAATGAGAAAATGAATGAAAGGGGGGATGCTCGAGCCTCGAAGGGAATATTGGTTTTCTTGTTTTAAATATAATCTGCCACAATGAAACATGTTAAAATGTGCATTTATTGTTGTACCATTCCTTGAACTGTAGGTTCTTATAAAGCAAGTGGGTCTTCATCTCCAAGAAAATGTAAGCTGATTTATTAATATGGTATATTCTTTTGACTTTCTTGTTCTTCTATCTCTTGACATGCATCTGAGCAGGTTTCATGTGTTCTGTTTCATCATACACATCATTAAAATATTAATGTTATCACATAACTGTCTAAATAAAAATTAAACAATGAAAATAAAAAAAGTGGGAATGTAATAGAAGAATGCTAATGTTAATTTTGGGGGGTCAACAAATATGCCCATCTTTTTCTCCAATTCTTAATGTATTGATCTCTTTTGGTTTCAAGAATGATAAAATAGATAAGATCAATGGTCCACTCATGACCCAAAAATAAGTACAATGATTGGCTTATAGGTTGGACTAGCCTAAGAAGCTGATAGCAGACCTGTAATATATAAAGTCTATATTAGGAAATGGATGAGGGGAGCAAAGGGGATTGCCACTATGTAACAGAAATGGGAAATGTGGAGGTTTAGTGATGGTTGAAGTTAGTTATGGACATCTGAGGGTTGATGCTGTGAATATATAGGGAGTAAATAGTTAGGAGAAGGGAGTCTTTGAGAAGTAATCAGAGAAGTATAGGCAAGAGAGTATAGGGTCTCACAAATACCCTGTGCATTTTATTCTCTTTCAGTCTGTTATTGCGATTGAATCAACTGTTGGAAATGAAACTAGAAGAATCTGTAAAAGAAATGAAGGAAGCAATAGAGTTGTTGCATCTGATGGTGGATCATCTGTTCTCTCAAAATTGAGAGGGAAATTTTTATGCAATAAAAGAGATAGAGGAAGGACATTTGTAAGACATGATAAAACACAGGGCAGGGGGGGGTGAATTGTGTTTCAAACAATTTTGGCGAATCTTTTTGAAATATTGGAGTTTATATAGCATAACTGAATGACTCATTACTGAGTCAGTAGGTAAATGAAACATAACAGAAAGCCTAACAGAAACTAAAACTGTTACGGTTGAATGTTGTCAGGAACCCAAATTAGAAAATAGAAGAAAGAAAGGAAAGATTGTATTTCTTGATTGCATAGTAGCAAAGAATAGGGGAGGTAACTCTCCTTAAGGGTTTCTCCTTTCACAAAGAGCTAATGCTCAATCAACAAATGGACAGATATCCATCCATTCCCTCCCCTTCAGCCCTCCAATTTATTTTTGTCACCGACTCGCTATAACTGATATTCTATGTTCTAACTAACTCCCCCTTCCTAAAGTCCTAACAAATGTTAAATGAAATTACAAAGCAAATGAAATGCATATGAAATTTATGACAAGTACATCTGTAATATTCATTTCCTTGTCCTGCCATTGTACAACAGGCTATGTTTCTGAATATTGTTAGCGGATTGACAATGTCAGAGACTGCTGGAGATCTTGCAATAGCAGCTGCAATTTGCAGCAGGTTCGTGTTCTAATTTGTATGAAATAATGTCTAATCTATTTGATTTGGCAATGCCTAATGTAATACAAGGATTGAGAGGTTATTGTTATCCCATTTTATGCTTCTTGTTTGGAGAAGTGAATCTTAATACCAATGTTCAAGAAGTGAACTGGGATTATTAATATGAATGCTTTCTTTTTTTCTTGATACAATATTCTAAATTCATTTTTTGTTGCATTTATTTATTTTCGCTGTTGTCTTTTTTCTTGTTTCCAGTTTCTTGGAGTTCCCTATTCCAGAAGGGACTGCATTCATTGGGGAAATTGGCCTTGGTGGAGAGCTTCGCATGGTAAGCATGTTCTTTTTAATGTTAAAATGTTGCTACTCACAACTATGATATTCAGTAATGAATCAATTAAGAGTGCTCAACAGCGTAGTGGTGTGCTGACTATTATAATGAATGGTTTAAAGAGTCTTCTGTTTGTGAAATTTTTAGATCAGTTACCTTTTAGATTTCATGTGTTGTGACATCAGTAGCGTTTTCAGATTTCTTAATAGTTATAAAAATGGTGGAAGGATTGTATTGAACTCTGTTATGGAGTATAGACTTGAATTAACTGGTTGGTTTAGTTCTGATAAACCATAACATGATATGGCTAGGTCAAGCATTTTACTGCATCACTATGCATTAGAGGTTGTGATAGGACTATGGACCTAAATTGCTTCTAATTACTAAATTTGATCCAAAAAGGCACTACAAGTAACTCTTGCTGGCCAGAAGCTAAATTAGGAGGGAATAACTGTATGAAGCTTCTAAGGAATGGTATCTAGTTGGAAGAGTGAGAAAACACTCGTGCTTAGGTCTAGGTTTCATCTTTCATAATAAATTATTTTGGCTTATTAAAAAAAAAAAAAAAAAAGAGGAGAGAGAAAACAGTTGTGATTGGATCAGTCTAGAAAGGGGAATTTGCAACACCGGGGGTTATAGCTGTGTTCGTTTTTTTTAAGGCTCCGTAAAATGTCAATCCAATGTTTTGCCCCAGTCATGTTGAACTGCATTAGAAAGTATGCAAATGTTAAATCAAATAGACTGGTTTCTCAGTCTTCAGCCTATAGCTTGGGCCAAAGGAATTTTCGTTGGCTGGGAATATTGCTCTTGCAATTCTGTATACTCTTGAGGTTTCCTGCCCGTTGATTGGGTTTTGATTGAAACCATGCAACCTTGAGTAAATTCCAAGACATCGTTTCCATTTGTTTGAAGGGACCTTAACCTTTAATACTTTGCATTTGTTAAAAACGGGTAATTCAAAACTCCTTTTTGTTGTGCTTTCTAAGAAAAGCTCCTTGCTTGTATTCATTAAGTCAAATTAAATGGATTATTTTATTTATTCTATCGAGCCTTGGCTGGTTATTTGTTTATTTAATCATACAGGTTCCTAGAATTGATAAAAGGGTTAATACATTATCGAAGTTGGGTTACAGAATGTGTGTAGTACCAAAGCAAGCTGAAAAACTTTTAGGAAACGAAGTTCCAGAGAAGTTGAAAGTTGTATATTGCAACGATCTGAAAGAGGTTATTGACGCTGTATTCAGAAGAGATAATTAAGAGATGCTGGCGGTGTTATGCAGATCTCACTTTCTTTTGATAGCTAAGGTGTAAGTTGACCCTTCAAAAGTTTGTAAATATAGATGCACTCATTGTGGCTTAAAATACCACAAAAGATGGACTATATTTGGTTTTATTTGGCGTCAATTATCCAATTTGATCGTACGTTAATTAAATTTGATCATGGAACTTGAGTTACCACATTTTAAAGGCATATTAAAGTGTTATTTATGTTCGTGCTCTGTATTACGTCTGGTTTAGTCTGCAATTTCTGGCTGGTTCTGCCCGTCTGAGGTTTGGTGTTCCTCTCTTTCTCCTGTGATATCTTTTGGATTCAAGAAGCTAGGCTGATGGGTTGAAGAAAGCAACCTTGCCCACATCCGATCAGTTATCACAACCCTCTTCTCTCCCTCGTTTATCAGCTGCACGTTCAAAATCATAATTCTTTTTTAAATAATACAGAAAAGTGTTAAATATTTACAGGTCCAATCAGGATCAAAGGGAGAATGTCAGATATGACCAGCCTAACTGCCGAGTAATTGTTTCGTATGATTTAAACTACACAATTGGCACGATAGCAAATAGATTTGGCCAGAGTCACAAGAACTTACATGAAATGGAATGTAACAATTTCTGCCATTAACTGGGCCTACAGTGAAGCCTGTGTATCCTGCCATTGCACCATGAACAGCACTTTGGGCTAGGAGGGTGCAGAATACATTATCAGATGCATTGCTTGGGATAGCACGGATCATGTAAGTAGGATCTGCAAGACAATCTTTTTATTGGTCACATTTTGTTCTTTAATAAATATACAATTTAAAAAAGAGAGCTCACCAATGTACTTCAGATTTATAGCCATTTTTTGACGTTTTGCAAAATGATCCTACAACAAATATTTAAATGCAAAAATATATTTAGAAGATTCTGCTGCATGGAAATCTACTAAATAAAATAAGGCGTTTTTCTATAAGTTTTGAGTGAATTCACAATTCCAAGCGTTGCCCAAGCAAGTCAGACTATGGATGATGATATGATATTTAATTCCTGACGTCTCTTGCAATTGAATACCTTCATTTATCTTTGCTGCTATCTTGAAACTTATTAGCAGTGAATTCTACATTTAATTACATTAATTACTGTTTTTGGTAGGTTTTTGAATTGCCCAAATTCAAAATTTTAAACTTTAATAAGTTTAGGGTTATAATATAAGAAAAGTTAATACATTTAATAATTAAGCTAAACTTGCAAGGTTTTTACCTTAATTTTCTGGGATAACCACAGGCCAACGTCGGGAAGTAATATATCGGCAGAAGCACCCTGCTTATAAGCAATAGATGGGTTGCCAGAAAGAAGCTCTTGACATGCACCTTCAGCTATTACTATAACCATGTGCCCTTGTTCTTTCAGTCTTTTCTCAACGAACTCCAACAGTCCTCCTGGACCCTCCAGGTAAAATGGTGATTCTGGAATCAAGCAACAGTCCACATCTCGGCTAGCAAGAGTTGCATACATGGCTATAAATCCTGCATGAAATGTCAATATTTGGTGACTATAACAACTAATTCAAGACAGCAAGATATAAGAATGACAGGAACATTGTTTCTTCTTGTTTTGCTCAGCAACTGGCATGATTAATGATAAATGAACAGTTCAATATGACAGGTCTCTGGTGAGAAACTTCGAGAAAATTCAACAGATGACTAGTAGCAATACTTAAAGGTGCTGGACTAAACATAATTAATGATATTCCAAAACAAAGACGCTAGACATGAGCAATGGCCAACATTTTAGAAACAGAGGAACAATGTGGGGTGATCACTAAATAATCCAAATGTTTATCAAATGATAAGAAATCAAAGATTAGTGTAACCACAAAATAGAAAATAAGAGAGAATTATGAAGTGGATTTGTTGATCACAATCAAGCATCATAGCTTCTTACAAGTCCATTCTTTAATCTTCTACACTTTATTGATACCATTGAGCTAATGTTGCAAATTATCAGAGAAATAGCTTACCACTGTAACGCCCCATTAATTTTACAACACCAATACCATTCTCAGCGCTTTCCGCTTCTACGTGAGCAGAATTAATAGCTCTCTGTGCCTCTTCAACAGCAGTGTCGAAACCGATTGACTTGTCAATAACCTAATTTAAATACAGAATGACATTAAATAGGTGACACTTAAAACTCAGATCCTTTTTCCTTTTGAGTAGGATTGCATAAAAATATAGAAACTTTCACATATACAATTTTACAATTAAAGCATCATTACTGGGATATCATTGTCAATAGTTTTTGGAATTCCGACCACTGCAACTTTCAAGCCACGCCTTCTAACTTCCTGCATAAATAACTAAATCTCATGAGTACAAATTTAACTAGTGAAAAATACAAAGTTAGCAAACTGCATATCAGCACTCAAACCTTTACCTCAAAAATCATTGCTGCCTCCATTTGAGTTCCAAATCCTCCAAGTATATAAACCTGATTAATGCCCCGGTCCTCAATGCTATCAACAATCTTTGAGGTGTCATGGCCTCCATATGATGTCCCAAGGATGGTTCCACCACGTTTGTGGATATCGTTCACAACCTTTGGTGTTAAAGGAACTGTATTTCGAGAATAAAAACCTGGATAACCTCCCTGCATTTAACCAAACACAATATTTACACTTTAATGATACACTTCACCAGACACTATCCAACACCTTTAAAAAATTGCAAATAAAGCTGCTAATTTGTCACAGTTATAAACACAGGCACATACATAAGCGATGTTAATTGGTACATAAATGGTACCTGTATTCCCAGAACTTTGTGCACTCCATACATATGATACAAGCCACACACTATTTCTCTTATCACTGTATTTAGACCAGGACAAAGACCACCGCATGTGACAATACAAGCGTATACTTCCTCTGAATCAAAATATACCTGCCGATGCAAACATTCAAATCACTGTTGTTTTCCAATAAATTACATAGGTGGAAATCAAGGTCTCAATTTTGTCACAAAAAAAAAACGAAGAAGAAGAAAGATAAACCTTCTGAGCAGGTCCAGCACGCCGAAAATGTGTTCCTCTTGGACTATTTTTGTGTACAACTATCTGCACAAAGAAACCAATTCGTGTAAATAACTCTGAAACACTGCAAGAATGGTAGAAACCTATCTTATAAAAAAGGTGAAATATTACCAACCTGTTGCGCAACTGTATCATCCACATTCACGTAGTATTGCCTGTGGAAACAAAACTTAACCGACTTAATCCCCAATTGAGTTACTAGAACAATTTAAATAGTGACTATACAACACAGTAAACCTACACTGTAGAAAGAATTATCAGAAAAATGAGAAGAACAAATACATGTTACTCCAACTTGATGAGGCCAAGTATCATCGAGTTCCAAAAAGTAGAGAAAAGAAGTGTCATATAAAATCATTTTGAGATTGACTGATAAAAGATACAAAAGATACCTGGTGTTCCTATTTATACTAATAGTGCTGGTGACAAGTAACAACTATAACAAATTAAGTGGTTAACTAACAGATTTTTATTCTCGTAGAACGAATCAAACTTCTAATACAGATTCACTTACGCAACAACTGAATAGGAAGGATTGTTTTGTAACGGGTCAGGATATGTCTGCAGAATAAAAAGGAAAATCAAACACATAATCTATAAGAGTAAATAGTCCATACTCCATATAACTTAAATTAGAAATTACCATATATAATAATCGTTTTACTTTCACAGTAATTACCTTAAAAGTCACTTTTAATAATAACTTCTGATTGATTAACGGTACAACATAGAAATTAAAGTCGTAATATAAATACATCAACTAAAACTATACCATAAGTTCATTTCATTGCCAAACAAGAGAGGGGGAATTAGGGTCTTACAGGGAGGTCAGGGATGTAATCAGATAGATGAGGAACATCCTCAAGTATGAAGCTAGAAACTTCTGAGGTGCTTTTGTCATGGGGATTAGCACAATCCAGCATGGTGTTGTTAGATTCTGTAATAACACAATTCGATTCGGCAAGGTTTTCGTGGGAGTCGTAGGTTTCAGCTGCACAACTACCTGAAATCCTAACAAATATCAAAGTGTAATATATCTATGTTTGATAACATAGGTAATGGTGCAACGAATTAAATAGTTGTTATTTATTTAATTTGGCATAAAATATAAAGTAAGAAGTGGATGGTATATTTTCTTTAGATCAAATAAATAAATAAAAATTGAAAGTAGCATGAGTGGACGGACTTTACGTTAGAAGCAGCTGAGTCTCCAGAGCTAAATTATTGTCTGAGTGAGAGATGTTGGTATTACTATAAGCTAGCTTTCTATTTAATTTTTGTTAGGACCACCAATTTTGCTTTTTTTCTTTTTCAGGAAAATTCTTATTTCATGAGTTATTCTCCAATTTACATGAACCACCAACAGGAGAATTTTCACCTTTATTTGAGACGAAGGGACACCAACGATCATCAAACAATAATTTATGTAACAAATTAAGTGTTGGCTAATTATTTGTTAACCTCAAATTAGTCACCAGCTGTATTGCTCTTTTCTTTTTTGTTTTCAAGCAAAGTTAAATGGCCCTTCCATAAAAAAGACGCTTATTTATTTCCCCCCAGTTTTTGTCAATGGCGTAGGCACTTTTTCATACTGACACATAGTAAGAGAAAAAGTAGTTATAAGAGTCAAATGTAAAGATTGAAAATCACCAAAAGAAAATAAATGGAAAGATAGAATTGTGTTGTTGGAGTGAAAGAGTTTTAATTTGGAAGCAGATGTTGGACCATTCTACTCTCACTTTCCTTCAACACTTTCATGTTTAGCAGGTAAAGAAAAAAATCAATTTAAATTTGGAAACTTGTTAAACCTTTTTAGTTTTTAGCCTTTTATACAACCAATAAAACCAAGTCCTTTCTAGTTTTTTCTTCCATAAGTCATTAAATTTATCCATATTTTAAAAATTGAATCCATTATTAAATCAATTATGATATTAAGTCAATAAATAAAAATAAACTAACAAATATTAATTTTTTTATAAATATATATATATATATATATTATATTTCATTCACATAAATTTTAATAAAATTGATATCATTTCTTAAAAGGTATTTTTAAATTAAAAAATGATTAAAAAAAATTATTTTCATAGTATACATATTAAATATATAAAATTTATATTTAAGATGATGTATAGAAATTTTTGATACGTATATAACAAACAAAAATATTGGATTGGTAAAAAATTTTATTTTTATAATATACATATTAATATATAAAATTTATGTTTTAATGATATATGAAAATAATATACACATATAGCAAACAAAAGCAATAGATTAGTGGCTATAGTAGGACCTAGTGGTGGAAGCTAAAATCTTCTGTTACTCCTGATGGACAATGTGATGACTATGAAATTTATAATATTTTTTTAGAACTTAAATATATTTTTTTCTTATAATATACCGTATTGTTTTTTGGTTCTGTAAATTATTCCTTTAAAATTGTTTTCATTTTGTTTTAGTCTTAGAATATTGTTTTTCTTTCTTTTTTATCATTGTAATATTTGAATAATCGATTTTAAGTCTCATCTAATTTATATATATATATATATATGGAATAGGTTAACAAATTTTAAAAATTAAACTTTTTTATATCTCATCATGTGTAAAAATAAATGAGATTATTAAAGTTTTTTAAATTAATACTTTCTCTTTAATTTTTTATTTTAAAATTAAATTTATTTAAAACCTTAACTTAAATTATAATAAAAATAGAATATTTATTTTTGTAACTGAAATTATAATAGAATTATAATTTAAAATAAATTAGAGATATAAAAAATAATTTGAATTACCCTAACTAAAATTTGTTGTTATCTATTTATCTTTACTTTAAATTATATTTATATTTTTATTTATTTATTTGCTAATTTCTGTGATAATTTTGTCTCATGGTTCTTCCACACTTCATCTTCTTGATATCCCTCTTTGAAATAATATGAAGTATTGTACTAACACTTAATTTAAAATCGACTTCTACACTATTATGAATAGATAACCAACATAAAAAAAATTAAAAAAAAAATACACTCAATGTGATTTTTCTTTAAATGCATATATATTATTTTTTAATTTGTGCACTTTATAATTGTCATTCTCTATAAGTTTTTCTATTTGTTTACTTGAAATTTTCATTTATTAGTTTGTTCTTTTTATGCTTGTTAATTAAAGGATTACTATGGTATTTTCTTAAATATGTCATAAAAGTCATGGGGCTCATAGAGTATTTATTATTATTCTTCCATTTTAAAGTTGTTATTTTTGGTGCATGATAAACTTGAGTTTGTTAAGGAGATTGTTGTATAAGAAGTGGATGAATAATTAGTTAATGAGAAGTAATGACAATATTTTGACATTATTTAAATGATAATTATTATCATTTATTAAAGTGTTTAATTTTTAGATGCTTAAATTCTTAGATATTGAGATGTACAAAATTAAACTCTTATATATTAAACACAAACTTTTATCTAGTAAGAGTATTTTTAACAGTTTTTCATCAAAGAAAAAGATTTTAATTTTTTTTTTAATTTTTTATCTAATTTAATTTTTATTATCATAACTATTTATAAATTTGTTTAATATTTTTTAAAATAAATCAATGGCATGTACACTATTAAGTCCGCATACTACCAGTTAATGGAACATCTCACCCCAAACGTTGGCTTACGAATACCAGGTAATTGGAGCATGCTTTGGAGCATGAAAGCCCCTAACACAATGAAATATTCCTTTGGCGGGTACTGCGAGGATGGCTACCCACAAGACTGAATCTTCAACGCCGACACGTGCCATGCACTATGCTTTGTCCCACATGCAGTGCAGGCATTGAAAATGAATGGCATGTTTTTTTCGAGTGCGTGGCAGCAAAGGGTATATGGGCTGCATCTGGGTTTTTGCCTAAGATTTCTCAAATAATTGCTGATAGTGATGGAATACAACAAGCTATATTTCAGTTGCTCCAATGTCTGTCTCCCTTGGAAGTACTTGATCTCTTATGTTTGATGTGGGGCATCTGGCATAAGAGAAATGACATACTATGGAATAACAAGGTGACTCCATCTCATACAGTTATCTTCCTTGCACGACAGCGGATATCAGACGTGGATGGCTGCTAGAGAAACACAACAAATACCAAAGGTAGCAAGAAATGATCCAATCTGTTGGATCAAACCCCCACCAGAATACACGAAATGCAACGTGGATGCAGAGATCTTTACCGACTCAAATTGTTGCGGGTTCGCTTTTTGCATACGAGATGATCTAGGAAGATTCAAAGCTGCTACTACGGGTTGGTATAACGTGCGGCTCCCCACCGCCAAATGAAGCTGAGGCCATGGCTTGCTTAGAGGCAATCACTTGGTTAGCAAACTCCCATTATGAGAAAGTCCTGATTGAACTTGATTGTAAAAAGGTTGTGGATGATCTATATGACTCCACAAGCCTCTTCTCTGAGTATGGTCGCCTTATTTATAAAGGACGTTCTCTTATAGCCTTACACAAGAACCTTGAGGTTAAGTTTGTTAGGAGACAAGCAAATCATGTTGCTCACACACTAGCTAGGGCATCAAGATTGTATGATAGTCCCCATCATTTTAATTTTATTCCCACTTGTATTGCTACTTCTATTATGAATGAAATGCATTGAGTTTCTTTTCCTCAAAAAAAATAAATAAATCAACATCTATATATTAAATATGAAGCTTCATGTACAAAAGAAAAAAAAAACACATGAAACTCTATTTAGTGCAAGAATGTCTTTAAGAACTATTTTTTTTTAACAAGGAAGTTTTTGGAATTTTTTAATTTTTTATCTAATTCAATTTTTATTTATCATAATTATAATTATTTATAAATTTTAATATTTTT